ACTGAGAGTCTTATGATGATTTATGCCATAAAATCTCACAGATTCAACCTTTGCTGAGGTGCTTTACTGAGAGAATGTTGTTGCTGCTGTTTTTGCTGTTGCAAGGGCTAGATTGAGTAGTGAATTTGAGTTCAAAGGTGCTATGGTTTAGTTTGTAAGCTGACACTGGTATAATTCACTGATTTACACTTACTCAATACAAAGTTATGTTGAAAATCATGCTGAACTCATATTTGGACAGTAATCACATCAATGCTGCTGAATTTAATGACTGATTCTTGGATTCCAGTACTAATTGGTTAAGTCTTGCTATATTATGAGTTTTTAATCTTCTAGCAAGTATATTTTGATGAATCTATTCTGTTGAAATTGACTTTGTGAGAGAATAGTGGTTAACTACTATTTTCAGTATTCAAACCCTTGTGTTAAACTGAGTTTTGCTGAACCAAGGCCTGTTATGAACTTTGTGATTTGCTTATGCTACAATTCATTGTTCAATGTTATGATCATGAGTACTATAGTGAATGAAGACTGATTATGATGCTATTGATTGATTCTCAAAAGGAAATTCCCATTTTACCCGTCAAGTACTGATTGCTGCAAATAGTTGTTTTGAAGTGGTAATTCAGAATTCTGAGGTGTCTGCCCTATTTCAAATTGTAAGAAAGACTTGTGTTTCTTGTATATCATCTAATTGATGTCTTTGGTGAGCCTAGAAAGCTTGTTTGGTCCTGGCAGGGTCGCATAGGACAGGGGGAGTGTAAGTGTACACTTTGTTGAGCTAGTGTGTGAGTGAAATGTGTGAAAGCTAGTGTTTACTTCTAATACAAGGGTGTATGCTGTGTAACAGCTTACTTACAACTAGTGGATGCTTGCATTGGCTGAGGCCAAGACCCAAGGTTTTCCCTAATTAAGAGGGTTTCCTTGTAAAACCTGTTGCATTGCTTTATCTACTGTTTTAATTTAACTTTCAGCTTATTGAAAAGACTTGACCAATTCACCCCCCCTCTTGGTCCAACAGCTGGTATCAGAGCTTTGGTTTGCTGCACAGGGTTCTAATAAGCCTGCAGCTGTTCTTTGCAATGGATGAAAGCCAAGTTACAAACAAAGATCTAGGGTTTAGTGGTGTGAACTATGATTCATGGAAAATCAGAATGGAGGCATTTTTAATGTCTCATTCTTATGATGTCTGGTATGCTGCTATGCATGGTATTTTAATTGTTAGTCCTAAAAATCCTACTGAAGCTGACAAAGTTGTTGTTGCTAATGATGGTAAAGCTAAACATGTTCTCTATTGTGCTTTGAAGCAACAAGAGTTTACCAGAGTTAAGAATTGCAAAACTGCTACGGAGATATGGGACTCTCTTCAAGCTACTCATGAAGGAAACACTGTTATTAAAGAAAACAAAATTCAACTCTTTAAAGTTCAGTATGAAGCTTGCAAGATGGAAGAAAGGGAAACTGTGGCTGATTACTTATTCAGGATCAATGATATTGTGAATAATATGAAATCTCGTGGTGAAGACATTAAGGACTCTAAGGTTTGCAAGAAGATACTTAGGTCACTTACACCTAGGTTCAATGCAAAAGTTACAATTCTTGAGGACAAAGACTTATCTCAAATGAAGATTGATGAACTACAAGCCTTTCTCACTACTTATGAAATGAGAATTGGTGTTCTAACTTTTCAAATACGAGAAGCCGCTCTGAAAGCCAAAGAAGTTATAGAGGAATCTGAACCTAAGTCTGAAGAGGATGATCTAGAAGAAGATGAAGTGGCCTATTTGTCAAAGAAATTCAAGAAGTTCAAGTTTAAGAAGAAAAACTAGTCTCAAAACCTAACCTGTTATGGTTGTGGTAAGCCAGGTCATTATGTCTTGAATTGTCCATTTTCTAAAGGGCAACACCAAAGAAAGAATGAGGAAGGAAACTTTAAAAGAAATTTTGGAAAGAAGGCCTTTATTTCTGATTGGGACTCTACACTTGAAGAAGATAAAACTGAAGAACCACAAGAAGATGAGTGCTTGTTCATGGCTACTCTTAAAACCTCACAAGCTGTATCAAAAGTTGAAGAAGACAGTGACTCAGAAATAGAAGAAATACTTGAGGAATGTGAAAGACTTGCTGTGAAGTGCAATCAATAGAAATCTCAGATAAAGACACTCAATTCAGAACTACAAAAAACCAAACAACTTCTTGTAAACCATTTTAGGCTTAAATTGTCAACTGTATGTTCAGTTACTCTACTGAAGTCTTAATACAACACACAATGGTCTATTAAAAGGTGCAAAGAAGAACTCTTATCGATTTTTGAAGAAAGATCTTTATAGATGGCTGAAATTTGGAAGCAATCCACTAAGCAAATTGGAAAGACTGGTATTGGTTATGTTTGTGACACTGCAACCAAGGTTAAACAAAACCACTCAGTGTTTGTCAAGGCCACCTCTGGTGAGGTTTATGCAAGATTTCCAATTATAAAACCCATGAGACCAAAATATGACATACTTGACTACACTTGCAATAATCTGAAGTTGAATGAAAATGACTTTGTCACATCTTCCATCAGAAATTTCAAAATCACCAAGATGTATATGAAGAAATCTGACTTAGCTCAAGATCAAAAAGTTAAAGATAAAAGATCTTTTGTGAAGTCCAAGATGATGTGGATACCTAAAAGAATGAATGCAGTGAGTATGTTGGCATATATAGCTTTCAAAGCCTGTAACACCAATGACAAATGGTATATTGACAGTGGTTGCTCAAGGCACATGACAGGTGATGGTTCCAAGTTTGCATCTCTGAAAAACTTTGATGGAGGAAATGTTATCTTTGGAGATAACCAAAAGGCCAAGATAATTGGAATTGGGACTGTGAATAAATCTGAAGAATTACCTGGGATTAAAGAGGTTTTACTTGTTGAAGGCATTAAACACAATCTTCTAAGTGTGAGTCAGTTGTGTGACAGTGGGAAGAAGGTGTGCTTTGATAAAGAGAAGTGTAATATTGTTGACATTAAATCAGAAAAAGGTTCTATTCTCAACCTGCAGATCTTCTGGAAATGTGTATACAGTATTTGAAGAAGCCACTCAATGTAACTTAACCACTCTAGATGAAGTTGTACTATGGCATAAGAGACTAGGTCATCTTCACTCAAAGAATCTAATCAAAATTCTGAAGCTGAAGGCTATGAAAGGCTTACCTAATCTAAAATTCAGTGATAACCATCTCTGCAGAGCTTGTCAACAAGGAAAATAAACAAAAATAGCATTTCCTTCCAAAAAGATTAACACTTCCAGAGCTCTTGATTTAATTCATATGGATCTCTGTGGTCCTACCAGAACTACAAGCATTGGAGGAAGTAAGTATTTTATGCTACTCATTAATGATTTTAGTAGAATGGTGTGGGTTTATTTTCTAAAAGAGAAATCTGATGCTATTACACACTTCATTAAGTTTGTTAACCTGGTTGAAAATAAAAAAGGTTGCATTGTAAAGAGACTAAGGTCTGATTTTGGTTATGAATTTATAATAAGAGAGTTCGAAAGCTATTGTGATGTAAAGGGTATCAAGAAAGAATTTTCAGCTGTTGCAACTCCTCAACATAATGGAGAAGTGGAAAAGAAATACAGGACTGTGCAGGAAATGGGGAAAACTTTGTTACTTGAAAAAGGTTTTGCAAAAGGCTTTTGGGCTAAAGCTGTCAATACTGCAGTATATATGATCAACAGGGTGCTTCTTAGACCTAATTCAACTAAGACTCCATTTGAACTATGGTATGGAAGGCCTACAACAGTTTATTACTTTAAGGTGTTTGGCAGCAGATGTTTTATTCTCAATCATACAGATAACCTAGGGAAATTTGACTCTAAGGCTGATGAAGGTATATTCTTGGGATACTCTATTAAAAGTATGGCTTACAGATGTTACAATCTCAGATCCTCTAAAGTTGTTGAATCAATTCATGTTAAATTTGATGAAAATCCTCAATCTAGTATCAATGATGAAAGTTGTTTAATACCTGGATCAACAGAAGCTAGTCCTTCTCATTCAGTTAAAGAGTTAAATGAAGCTGCTCAATTCACTTCAGGGTTTGACAATCAAAGGGAAATTATCTATCCAGTTCTACAGAAATAGATCCAAGCTGAAAATATCATTGGATCACCTCAGGCTGGTGTTCAAACAAGACATAAGAAAAGGCTCATTGAATTAGAAGCTGAAGATAGAGAAGAGTACAGTCATTTTGCTATGTTATCTTCAATTGAACCAAAGTCTTATAATGAAGCTCAGAAAAGTGAAGATTGGATAGCAGCTATACAAGAAGAACTTGATCAGATTCACAGGAAAATGTCATTGGTTCCAAGTGGATTTACATGAACAAGTTGGATGAGAAAGGGTTTGTTATTAAAAATAAAGCAAGACTGGTCTGCAAAGGTTGCTCTCAACAAGCAAGAATTGATTATGATGAAACTTTTGCAACAGTTGCTAGGCTGGAATCAATTAGAATGCTCTTGTTATTTGCATGTCACAAACAAGTCAAAGTCTATCAAATGGATGTGAAGTCTGCCTTTTTGAATGGAGACTTAAAAGAAGAAGTTTATCTAGAACAACCTGAAGGTTTTAAAGATCACAAGCATCCCTCTTATGTATTTAAACTGAACAAAGCTTTGTATGGTCTCAAACAAGCTCCTAGAGCTTGGTATGAAAAATTACATCACTTCTTGGTTGAGTAAGGCTTTCAAAGAAGAAAAGTTGACAGCACTCTTTATGTTAAAATTCCATAAGATCAGTTTCTTATACATCAAATCTATGTAGATGACATCATGTTCTATGGTTCAGATACCTCTTTAGCATCAGAGTTTACAAATTTAATGAAAACCAGATTTGAAATGTCACTCTTGGGACCTCTCAGATACTTCCTAGGCCTGCAAATCCATCAAACTTCTATAGGGATTTTCATTTCTCAATAGAAGTATGCATTTGAGTTGGTTAAAAAGTTTCATATGAATGATTGCAAGCCTGTTTCAACTCCTTTATGTCCTAATACCAAGCTCTCTCTTGAGTGTACTACAGAATCTATTCCTTCTACACTTTATAGGTCTATCATTGGAAGTCTCTTGTACCTCACAGCTTCCAGACCAGATATTATGTACTCTGTGGGACTGGTAGCAAGATTTCAGTGCAATCCTAGACTCTCTCATCTCCAGGCTGCTAAAAGGATTCTTAGATATATCAAAGGAACTATCTCCTATGGTTTGCACTACATTGTTTCCCCTATACTATCTATAACAGCCTTTTTAGATGCTAATTGGGGTGGCTCCTTACCTGACAAAAAAAGTACTTCAGGTTGCTGTTATCTCCTTGGTTTAAATATTGTTTCCTAGCTGAGTAAGAAACAATATACTGCCTCTCTTTCTACTTCAGAAGCTGAGTATATTGTTGCTTCTCAGGATGTTTCCCAACTTCTTTGGATGAATACTACTCTTGCAGATCTTGGCCTTCACTTCTCAGGTCCTTCTCACCTTTTGTCCTTCAATGTTAAAAAGGGGGAGAATAGACTGAAATAAGGGGTAGTTTACTCATATTGTTACTATGTTCATTACTTTAGTTGAATCTGTTTCACTGAGGTCTTATTTCATGATTGAAGTTTTTGTCATTAAAGGCAAAAGGGGGAGATTGTTGGTCCTAAAGTCCTTTATGCAGTGTTTGCCTCTTTAATGTCAAAAATCAGTGTAGTAGTGGTTTCTTCATTATTAATGTTGCTTAAAATAAGACTCAAGGGTTGTGTGGTCATTTTCACATCAGTGATTCATACTTCATATCTGTGCTGAGAATTCATCACATTATACTAGCCTGTTTTTGCTAAAATTGCTGAATTTTGTGTGGACTTAGTTCATAAAGTTGTCTCAGATGGTTCCAGGGGTAGCATTATCTTTTCTCAGCTATATTTAATATAGATACGTATGTTCAAGATGCTACATTACACTGGAGTGATCTCATTGAAGCTGTATTGTCACTTATATAGTCTTAGGACTTTTTCTTAGCTGAGAAGATATAAATCTGTTGGAAGGGTATCTTGGTAATTTTCTTCTAAGCTCATGTGTATGTCACGCTCCAGTGGTCCCAGAGCAAATGAATATGCAAGAATATTGCATTTCTTAGAGGTTAAGTATTGAGCTGAATGGTGTGCACTGTCCTATAGTGTGTATGCGTATTTTTCTGTGTATATAGTGTCAAAAGTGCTAAGGTGTCCTTCAGGAATTGGCTCTTGCTCCTGAAAGTATCTGCATTGTGCTTTATCAATGATTGGCTTAAGGTGACAGGTGTATTCCGAGAGTGTATGGAGTTCAATGCACTTTGTGGTTTTATATATATATGCTGTTATAGCCATTTTAGGGATTATAGCCTTGAGAATGAAAAGTGACATTCAGCTATAGCCTGAATTACCTTGAGAGCATTGAATGAATTTAATTTACTGAGAGTCTTATGATGATTTATGCCATAAAATCTTACTGATTCAACCTTTGCTGAGGTGCTCTACTGAGAGAATGTTGCTGCTGCTGTTTTTGCTGTTGCAAGGGCTGGATTGAGTAGTGAATTTGAGTTCAAAGGTGCTATGGTCTAGTTTGTAAGCTGACATTGGTATAATTCACTGATTTACACTTGCTCAATACAAAGTTATGTTGAAAATCATGCTGAATTTAATGACTGATTCTTGGATTCCAGTACTAATTGGTTAAGCCTTGCTATATTATGAGTTTTTGATCTTCTAGCAAGTATAGTTTGATTAATCTATTATGTTGAAATTGACTTTGTGAGAGAATTGTGGTTAATTGTTATTTTCAGTATTCAAACCCTTGTGTTAAACTGAGTTTTGTTGAACCAAGGCCTGTTTTGAACTTTGTGAATTGCTCATGCTACAATTCATTGTTTAATATTATGATCATAAGTACTACAGTGAATGAAGACTGAATATGATGTTATTGATTGATTCTCGAAAGGACATTCCCATTTTACCCCTCAAGTACTGATTGCTGCAAATAGTTGTTTTGAAGTGGTAATTTGGAATTCTGAGGTGTCTTCCTTATTTTAAATTGTAGGAAAGACTTATGTTTCTTGTGTATCATCTACTTGATGTATTTGGTGAGCCTAGAGAGCTTGTTTGGTCCTGGCAGGGTTGCCTAGGATAGGGGGAGTGTTTGTGTACACTTTGTTAAGATAGTGTGTAAGTGAAGTGTGAAAGCTAGCGTCTACTTCTGATACAAGGGTGTGTGTAGAGAGTGAGACAGCTGAGTGTGTAACAACTTACTTACAACTAGTGGATGCTTGCATTGGCTAAGGCCAAGACCCAAGGTTTTCCCTAAGTAAGAGGGTTTATTTGTAAAACCTGTTGCATTGCTTTATCTACTGTTTTAATTTAACTTTTAGCTTATTAAAAAGACTTGACCAATTCACTCCCCTCTTGGTCCAACATTATTGTCATTCATTTCAGAGGTAGAGTCGTGGTGTTGTCCTTCTTAGGACTGGCGGTTTCCTTTTTTTCGTGTCTTCCCTTAGGGACTTTTACCGTGGTTATTGATGGGTTGTGGTGCTCAGAGTGAGTGGATTGGTATGAGATCATTTTTTAGGGACTTATGCCATATCATTGAGGATTTCTTTGATTCGTGAGGTGAGCTCGATGCTCTTTTGAGAATATCTTTTGGAGGATCGCTGTTGGATATGGCTTGTTTGTGGAGTTTTCTCATCCTAGTTATGGCTAGACGCAGTTTTAAGGAATTGTAGTTCTAGTGATTGTTTATAGATTGAAATTGAGGAATTTTAATTTGGCTTGATAATGCTAAGCACGGTTTTGAGAGATTTTTTTATGACCTTGGTTGTTGGGATTTTGATATGTGTGCCACGTGGTGGACTTATTTTTTTTTTTTTTTTTTTGAGGATTTAATTATCCGTGATAGGGATTTTGATCTAGTGTTTGATTATGGTATAGTCTTGTAGTTGATCTATTTTTGGGAGATATGTAGGACTTTCGATGAAATATCTTATAGTGAAGTTCGTTATGATTTCTGGAGGTGTTGATTTGCTTGTCAGGCTTTAGATTCATGATTGATGTTGTTCATAGTAGTGTTTTGAGACGTTGAAGTTGTTGGTTTTGTTGTATTAAAGATTTAAGGCCTTAAGCGTAGCAGAACCTATGACATTGTTGTCAAAATTTTGGGATTGGCCAGAATGGTCCGACTGGACATCTTTGGAGTATATCTCAACTCTCACAAAATGTTGGTCTCCGTAGTGCTTTTGGTAATGATCATTTTCGATGTTAATGTCATTTGTATCAGGAGGTTTCATAGGTAGACCTAGTGGGGGCAGGTAATGAACTGGTGCCTTACACTATCATGCTACCGTATAAGTTGTGTACTGTGAGCGGGTGCTTGTTGCCGTTGATCCAACCTTACTGACGAGTAAGTGTGGGCGGGCACTAGGCACTGTCATTACTACCACACATTCGAGTACGTCGTGGGCAGGTTTTGGTCGCTATTCATACTGCCACGTCGTCTTTGTTCAGTACCTTGATTTGATATGTGATTATCTTTGGACCTCTTTTGGTGGTTGTTTTTAGATTGATATGATGGTTCATCAGGAGGGATGCTTTTGATTATTGTTTTTCGTCCCTTTGTCTAACCCTGGATTCTGTGTGTGAGTTCTTACTTGTTGTGTGGCCACGTGGTCATGTTCTTTTTGAGAGGTTGTCCTGTCGTGAGCACGTGGGTGCAAATTACATTGGTTTGTACATTGTCTTTTAGTTTTGGGATTTCTTTTGTAGCACGTTGTGTGGGATACTCAGAGATGTACTCTGTAGTTACCCTGGTTTTGCCTTTTGTTTTGTTGTGGCTAGATTTCGGGGACGAAATCCTTTTAAGGTAGGAAGATTGTAATGACCCGGCCATTTTCATTCCTTTCCTTTTTTTTCAGATTTTTACGGATATTTTTTTTCCGTTGATCTTTTCTTTTAAGAGTTCAGCTTCTTTTCACTTAGTGTCATCTTGAGTGCTCGGTGTTGGTTTCCGAGACTCTTTCCTTTGGATTGACAACTTCTCTTAAGGACCGAGTCATTTTCCCATTTTCACTTTTTGGACACTATTCACTTTTCATTTTTTTCCCGTTTGTCACTTTGTTGGCACAACCTCACTTTTCGTGTTCAAATTTGATTCCGGTTTTGCATGCATCCACGATATTTAAATTTAATGCTATATGTATTTTTACTTTCTTAAAAAAGCATGCTAAGTGTTTACTTTTCTTGTAAAGGGTATGGATGCATAACCATTTTGTAATATTCTTAACTTGTGGAGTTTAGTGTAATTAAATAAATTAATTATTTTTCATCTCGGGGGCCATTTTTTAATTTAATTTCGAAGATATTTTGGAAAAAGGATCTATTTGCAATTTTTGGAAAATGTGATAAGTGTTATACTCCTATGTAACCACTTGTTGACATTTTGGTGGAACCACTTGGAAGCTTAATCACTTAACTCACTAAGGGTGACGATTCACCCAATTATTGGCCTAGGATTGTACCACTTGTTGGATTGGATGGTTGATAAGTGTAGGCTAGGGATTTAGTGTTGGAAGGAGCCTTAGATTAATGACAAGTGTAAGTTTCATTTTAGGTCTTGCACTATGTGTGCATGAAGACCATGGTGTAGACTCACATAGTGAGCGGAGGAATGCTAAATCCTCCACTCACCACATTTTAATTCATCTTCCTCACCACTTTGTTCTCAAACCCTAACCTAGCCTCCATGGAAGGAAAAGCTTGACTCAAGGCTTTGACTTTATTTTTGGCCTCCTTCCATTCACCTTAGATCATAAAGCTTGGAATACTCTTTGTTCACCTTATCCTACTCTACATAACTCTTGAAGGGTTTGCCATTTTGTGTTGATTTGCCTTGGATTCAAAAAGAACAATTCCCTTGTGAGGTAGGGGGTGTTATAATCTATTTTCAAAGTGGTTTACTTACTTTTGTATGAAATATAAGTTGTATGCATGTCTTTTGTTAATTTGAAAAATTAATGTTGTATCATAGCTTGCATATAACTCATTTTAGACTTGATATATGGCATAGCCATGACTTGGTCTTCGTTATATATTAAATTGGAATGATTTAAATGAGTTTTCAAATCTAGAGATTAAATGAATTTAATTTGATTTAAATTCTAGTTAATTGTATTTTGCTTGTATTCTATTTTAGGCTTGATATATGGTATGACCACGACTTAGTACTTAAAATATATTAAATTGAGATCATTTGAACAAATTTTGAAATCTAGAGATTTAATTGATTTAAATTAATTAAATTCTACTTGATGATATCTTTCTCATTTTTCACTTTTGATTTGATATATGTAATGAGTATGCTATGTTGTTTAACATATATTAATTAGAGGTTATTTGAATTTGATTTGAAATCTAGAGAATTTAATTATTTTGTTTAATTAAATTCTATCCAATGGCTTCATGGATCTATTTGTGCTTTGAAGTTGTTTCTATATTTAAATCATGGACTTGGACTTA